TTCCTCCCGTTTGCTTTTCCACTTTCTTTTTATTTTCTTTCTTGTTCATTCGCTTCGCCTCCGCCGTAGGCTGCCGCAGGCACGACCCGCCCCCCTTCTGCGGGTGAGGAGGTGGTTGGAGGTGGCCACGTTTCTGTGGAGGGCGCAACTTCCTGCCGGCACATGGGGCACAAGCGGCTGGTGAGCAGCCAGCGTTGCAGGCAGTCTGCGTGAAACTCATGATTACACGACAGCTTGACACTCTCCGGCGGTGGATCCGTCTGGGCTGCCGCGTTCGGCGTCGAGGCGGCACTCACTGGGTGCGGGGCAGGATGGGCCGGGTCTGCGTCCTCCCGGCTCCACAAACAAATTGCACAGTCCGTGGCGTGCCCCGGCCCCAGCAGGACGCATCCGACTTCCTGAGCCGCCACGCCACGGACGGGGGCTCCCCGCGTGGGAGAAACGGCCACGGCGGAAAGTGACGCCGTAAGCATGCAGGAGGGAGACCGAGATGCCAGATGCATGTCAAGCGGCAGGTCGTCATTGGGGCTGCAGTCAAAAAGCTGGCTGGTGACACTCGCGTTGGCATTCCTCCTGCTGCTTTGTGTGAGGGAGGGACTCACAGCCGCGAAGGAGGCCCCGCCCACCACCACCACATTCTCCAGCCGCGGCAAGGGCGGGACGCCGCTGCCTCGGCTCCCGCGAGTCTGTGCCCCGTCGATGAAGCCGGCAAGCGGCGGCACGGAGGACTGCGTCAGCAGCAGCATGGCGGCTCCCTGCACCGGCTGTGCACCGCCGCTATCCCCCGCCGCCAGCCCGGCCGTGGGCGATGGCAAGGAGGGCGGCGGCGTCCCTGCGGCGCCCAGGAGGATCACCGGGGACGGCGCGGGGGCGGCGTTCATGCTGCTCGCGGCGTACGACGACAGCGAAGGGGAGGACGGCGGCAGTTGGCACGGCGTCTCGTACTCCCGCAGGGCGCAGGCAGCAAGATCCATCTCGCCGCCGTGGCTGTGCGCCACGACTAACCCCACCTTGTCGAGCGAGGCAAAAAAGCAAAGAAAAAAAACCAGACACATGCGCAGTGAAGAGGCAGGGAGGACGCACAGCCACCATCTCCGAACACGCACACGCCTATCTGTACATATATATATATATATATGCCCACAGCAAAAGTAAGACACCCACTCGGCGTCGTTGCGTTCCACACACGCACACAGGCGGGAACAGGAGGAGCAGAGGGCAGCCAGAAGCAGAAAAACGCAAAAGAAAAGGAAGCGGGCGACACCAGCACTTACGCCGTCGCAACTTCCTTCAAGTGAACCACCCGCACCGCAACGGGCGTCGCTGCTGCCGCCGCCGCGTCCTCCCTGCGCTGATGCCTCTGCCGCGTCGCTGCCATCCTCCCCAGCACCAGCGGCCCCATCGCCGTCGCGGCACACGCCGCACGCAACGCCGTCACGGCCAACGGCAACGCCTGTGGGAGGCGCACGACCACGTTGTACACACCCGGCGTGTCGTGCCGCACCCCCACTAACTGAATCCCGCCAGCGTCCGCCGCCACTGCCAGGCCGCACAACAACCGCATTCTACCCCCAATCTCCTCGCACAGCGCAGGCACATCGAGCGACGGCAACGACTCCGCACCCGCCTCTTCGCCGCCGCCGCCGCGGGAGGTGAGAACCTGCAGCTGAACAAGACACTCCCGCGAGCCCCGCTCTCTGCATCGCACCATCCCTGCCGCTTCGTGTGCCCGCCTTAGTAGTGGTGCGAAGGATCACTGCGCGTCGTTGTGGCGCGTGGCACGGTTGCGTGCATCGCAGCGACGTCCCCCCACATCCCAAGCCGAAGACGCAATAAAAAAAGGGGAGGGAAAAAAAAGGAGAAAAAACAACAACAAAACAAACACAAATTCATGACTCGCGGACGCCGGTTGCACGTAAATATTCACTCACGTGAAGAGGAAGTTGGAAAAAAAAAACAGAGAGGCAATTGCGTGTGCCTGACAGACGACAGCACCGCCGTGCAGGAGCGGGCTGGCACGGTGGTGTGTGTGTGGCGAAGAAGAAGAAGAAAAAAGTCCCACCTACTTCACACGGATTGCCCGCAGCAACGAAGGAGTAAAGAGGGGACACGGCCGCAACACCACAAAACAAAAAAAACACGAAGAAACAGCAAGCACACACACACACACACACACACTCAATAAATAAACAAATCAGCCCAAAAGAGGCTGCATGGTAGCCGGGATCTCGTCGGGG